ATTGTACCCTGTATTTGTAGGAGATCCGTTCCCAGTTTGAGAACTGTCTGGCTGAGGGCTGCCCTCTTTTGGTGACAGATTGTGACACAAAGCAACTAGCCAAGGACAAGCGCTTCAGGGATGCTATACAAAGCTGTAAACATTTCATCAACGGCAAAGCCAAGTTCAAAATCACTGTAAGTGAAAGAAAAGTCACTTGAATTTTACCTGTAGTTTATACAGTTGGATTAGAGAGTTTTTCTTGCTCCGTATATTGTTAATATTAATTGATCCTATATTTTAGGTTAAGGATCATGAAATATTTGTATGGTTATTACTAATTGATCCTATATTTTAGGTGGAGGATCATTAAGTCTCTTTGTATTGTTATTACCAATTGATCCTATATTTTAGGTGGAGGATCATGAAGTGGAGTGTGATCCACGTTTCCGCCTGTTCCTACACACCACAGTGGAGCCCCACATTGTACCACCACATCTGGCGGCATACACCTCCGTGATCTACTTCCAGCGCTCTCGTGCCGACATTGAGGAAACCTTACTGGACAGGTTCATCTACCAGGAGAAATCCAAGCTAGAGGAGGAGAGAGTCTCACTACTCCAGGTATGGTCAGATTCAGAACAGAAACTTCACTTATTGAACGCTATTTACAGAATGGGTACAGGATTGAAAACTGTTTCTGTTTTGTTAGGTGTGGAAAATTTAATGTTTGGTTCAAAATATTTTGTTTTTTAACAGGAGAGGAAAGAGAACTTGGAGTTGATGGAGAAGCTTGAGAAGTCTATGTTGGAGAGTCTGTCTAGTGACATCAGACTGATGAATGAACTTCCTGCCACCAAAAAACTGGCCGAGCTCAAGAAACAGTATGACGAAACTCTGGATAGGTAAAATACTTTTCTTCTTGTTTATGAAAGCTCCCAACCCCCTCCCTCTTTCAAAATTTAAAAGGGGGGATGGTAATTAAAAGTTGTAAATATTTTGAAAAAAATTAAATATAGATGTTTACAAAATATTTATTTATTCTATTCTGAATACTTGCAGCCAAGAGCGAGTTGAGTCTAATGAAGCCACCAACACAAGGAACCGTGAACTTTCTCGCGAGTTCGCTCGGCGCGGTGCTGTGTGTTTCCATGTGATGCAGTACATGAGGGAAGTGAACCCATTGTACCAGGTCTCCTACGCTCAGTTTGAACAGCTGTATGATGCCGCCATTGCTCACTCTGAAAGGTATGTCTCTTCCCACCCATTTCTTTGCATTATGCCATTTGGTCTCTATGTGACTTAATTAAGAAAAATGTTAATTTTTATAAAGTTTGGTTAAGAAGTTGTTCTCTTTAAATTATGAGTATTAAACAGATTCATTGGTTTAGAATTGTTAACAAAATGATTAATATGCAAATTGCTTTAAAATTGTAAGTAAATTTTAGATTTTTTAAAATTAATTATTAATGTATAAAAGTTTTTCATTGCAAGCAGAATATCCCTACAGATTAAATCAATTTATAGATGTCTGTTTAAATTGGTTCTAGCAATTATATACATGTATATAAGATTTACAATTTTGATGTATATGAATTAGTAATCTTGTCATATGTGCATGCCAATAGTTTCCTATTCTTTATAACAGTCAACAACTCACTCCGATATCTAATAGGTGGCTTGTGTTGGGGTTCGAGTAAGTCTAATGGTTCAGAAATTTAATACCTTGTGTTTGCATGATTTTATTTGATGCATGAAAATAAAATGCATGTACAAATCAACCCATATTGAAAATTTTGATTGGGAATGTCTATTGCATGACTTTTGTTCAATTCGAACCAAGTTATAAAAGTACCCAAAACTATTAGCATGTACATTTCATTTCATATGATGTCACAGTTTTCTAAAGAACAGGGTTGATCTGTACTTGGAAAATTTATTTGAGATTTTTTTCAGTTGCATTCAATACTTTTAATTCAAATTTTTTCTGCCAGGTTAGAGAATTTTTGCATATTCTAGCAACAATATGTTTGCATGATACTTCTTTTACATGTTGAAAATTTACCCGAATGTCAGACTTGCTATAATTTAATACTGCATCCTTTTTTCTACTTTACTGTGTACAGTTTTTTATGGATTTTGTCATTTATCTTACAGAGCCCAGAGAGCAGAGGAAACTCTGGAGAAGATAACTTATATGGCCTACACCACATTTGCAAGAGGACTGCTAGAGAGAGATAGATTCATTTTCACTCTGCTGCTGGCAATAGAGGTAAGATCAAATTTATCTAACTTAAAAATATAAAATTCAGATCTAGGGGAATTATAGTTAATGTTTTGCTAGGTTTTTTTGTTGGTTTGTGTGTGTGTGTGGGGGGGGGGGGGTGTTTTAGCATAAGTTGAGGCATACTTACATGTAGTTATAAATTTGTGCAAAAAGTAGATATTAAGTAAAATGCGACTTATTTTAGGTTGAAGATTCCTTGGGTAACATTGGTCCAGGTGAACGTGAGTTCCTGGTCTCCCCCAACTACAGCTCCGTGGTCATGACAAAACTGGGCTACACCCAGCCCCCGGACAGCAAGATTGTCCAGATGAAGAAGCCGTTTGACTGGATGCACGACGACCAGTTCCACAATCTCCAGGTACTGGCCACGCACTTCGAGTGGTTCCAGGAGAAGTTTGAACGGATGCCCAAGGACGGCCGGGAGATGGAATGGAGGATGCTGTGTGACAATGTGGAGAAGGAGCCAGAGAATATGCCCCTGCCAGACAAGATGGACAGCAAGGACTTCGCCCCGATGAAACGTCTGCTGGTGGTCAGGGCGGTCCGGAGTGACCGACTGATGCAGGCCTCCACAGTGTTTATACAGAGGGTCCTCGGAAAGAAGTAAGTTATGTCCCTTTGTATATTCCTATCTTTCACATTTTTTTTTAATATTCAAGATTTTAATAGTCATTTAATTTCTATATATTAGGTATCAATTAATATATTTAGATGTTTATAATTACCAATTACCAAATTTACATAATGTCTTAAGCCTAATGAAAATGGCAAATCAGTTACTAATAAATAAATGATAAAATGACTGCATATGTCAAATTAGCTATGTATGATTTTATGTATATCATGCAATCATAGAAAAATGAAAACAAAAAAAATTATTTGAAATTGATATGTATACTTCTAGCTGGTTTAATGTAAATTTGAAGAAGGAATATAGTGGGTATGTGATATTGCACAAAAAGATAACCCAAAGTGGTTTGAAATTTTGGTGGAGGAAATGATGTGCAAAAAAAAAAAAACAAAAACAACTGACTTTGTCATGTGATTTTCTTCAGATTTTATTTTATTAATCATTTAATAAATTTTGAATTGATGTCACAACTTAATAATTGTGCTGATCAGAATTTTTTTTAATTTAAGTTTGTTCTTAAGGAGGAATGCCACACCAAATTTTTATTTTATAGATCTGTGAGTCAACCTTTTAAAACAATGGTTTCAGCATTGAAAGGCCAACATTAGCTCTCAATTATTTTATATGAATTTTTTTTTATTTTTTCAAAGAAAAGGAAAAAAATTATTTCCATAAAAATAAGACGTTTTCTTGTAAAAATTTCGCTGTAAATGAATGCATCACATTAATATCTAATATAATATGTGTAGAAAAGCTGTATAGATATTAAATTTTTTTGAATAAAAAATTATTTATGAAAATAAAACACATAATTTGTGAATATTTTTTAAATTCGTGGTTAAAATTTTCTTAAAACCAGTCACAACTGGGGAGAACATGTTCTTTCATCATATTTATAAAAGAAATTGAAACGAAATGGCCAAATTTTAAAGAAATTAATTTTTTTTAAATTTTGGCCAATCCCGATCAAAATTAAACCGATCCCAACCTTAATTGTATATTTATTGGAAATAAATACATTTCCCCAAGAGCACTAGTCTGATTAAGTGTGATGAGGATTAAAACATTAATAAACGTGACAATAAAATAGATTTCTTCATTGTAAATACATGAAGAGGCAGTTAATTAGCATTTTATTAATTTTGTATTAATTTTGATCGGGATCAGTTTAATTTTGATCGGGTTAGGTCCAAATATTAAAAAAATTAATTTCTCTAAATTTTTTCAATTTCATTTCAATTTCTTTTTAAAATATGATTAACAAACATGTTGTCCTCAGGTGTGACTAGTTTTATTGTGATTTTAGCCACAGGTTTAAAAAAATATTCACAAATAATGAGTTTTATTTTCATAAATATTTTTTTATAAAAAAAATTATAAAGTCCAACCAGCCTATCTTTACATATTTTATTAGATATTAATATGATACATTCATTTACAGCAAACTTTTAACTCAAAAACATCTGAGTTGGATGTAATTAATTTTTTTCATTTTCTTTGAAAAAATACAAAAAATATTATATAAAATAATTGAGAGCTTATATCGACCTTTCAATGCTCAAACCCTTGTTTTAAAAGGATGACTCAAAGATCTATAAAATAAAAAGTTGGTGTGGCATTCCACCTTAACAAAAAATGATGTTTCTTGAATCAAGTTTGTTAGAACTACAGAATTCTGCAGTGTTTATGTTCAAAGCTTTTCTTTTTTTTTTAAATCAACAGAAAAACACACCATTAGCTACACTACTGATACCAAAAATTTATGTTTCCATTTCTGTTGTCTATGAAATTTTAAAGCTTCATCATACTTGTATTTATAAAAATAAATTATCTCTTGCAATATCAAATTAATCCTTAGAATTAATTAAAGGCAAAAAGTATAGTACCATTAGATTTTAATGTTAAGTAACATCTTCAAATTAACTGAATTTTATCAACTAAATGTGGTGTAATTTTTCCGTCAGCTTTCCACAAAGTCCAGAACAGGAGTTTTTAGGGTAAGCTGGGCGTGTCTTGTATTGGGAGGCGGCCAATCACAATCCTCCACACAGTTCTGTATGCCTTCCCAGAATGCATTGCATCTCTCTTGTGTCTGCTATTGTGTTGTTCTTTCAGGATTATACATACAGAGTTTGATTTTTTGTAGATAAAAGCCAGAATATGTTTTCTTTTAAGTCCTAGCCAGGAGATTTAGATCAATAGATCTGATGAAATTAATATATATATATTTTAAATCTTTAGTAACATTATCTTATTATATTGATGTTGAAATTAGAAAATTAGAGATTATTTCAAACCTGAATAATAAAAATTTTAATTAGCATAATTATTGATTTAAAAAAGCTATTTTCAAAATTGAAAAGAAAAATTGAAATCTTAAAATGCAAAAAAGAAATATATGATTTATGGAAAATTGTTCCTGCTATCAGCTTAAAATTGTTATCCTTGAGCTTCTTTTTATCTGACCTTTGAATGTCTGGACAAAAAAAAAACTTTCCCTTCATGCTGATTGAGCTAAATTGCTCCTGGAGTCTCATGTATGCTTTAGATATTGTGCTGTCTGAGTGCATGTCAAAAGATTGCAAAGGAAAAGGCTTCAAATTCTGTTTGATGTTGCTATCATTTATTTGGCTCTTATTTTTGGGTAACGTTCCAAACCACTGGTGGAAACTTGGTAGCACCAACTCAAGAATTTACTTTTGTTTGCATGCTAATGTCAACTTTGTTTATCAATCTCACCGAAACTATCTTAAAATGCAGTATTTGACATAGAATATTTTTGGAAAACCAATATGTCAATGCATTTTCAAAACCAATATGTCAATGCATTTCCAAAACCAACATGTTATTGCATTTCCAAAACTAATAAGTCAATGCATTAATCCTGCAGTATACTAATATGATTGCTTTCAATTCCTGTTACAGATACTATGGAGACATGGGACTTGACCTGTCAGCCATGTACAAACAGAGCGCCACTGTCCCCCCATCCACCATCTCCCTCCCCATCCTCCTGCTCTACACCTTCGAGGCGGAGGCCGCCCAGAGCCGGTTCATTGATTTCTCCAATCGGAAGCAAGCACAGCGTCACATGATCACCGTGACAGACAACTCCCAGGCTACACGGAGCAAGGTCAGAAAGGTCATCCGGAAGGCAGTCAGTGAGGTGAGGAGTCTCAGAGGAGGCAGGGTTATCTTAAAATAAAAGTTATTTCACTATTTACTAATGGGAGGTTCTTTCAAAATGAGCGTTTATTTAAAATAAATGGTAAAATGCAATACTGTAGATTACCAAATTTTCAAGACATATCATTTTTGCGAGAAAGCTCTTTATAAACTTCAAAGGTTTGATTACAACATTTTCATAAATGATTTGATTGTATTTTAATTAATACATGCATATAATCCTTTACAATAAAGATATACATCCTGAAAAGACAGTGTTGCCTAATTATATACAGATAAAGTTCTGGCAAATGAAAATTTAAGCAATTTACAGTTATTTCATCTGCATAATGAAAAATATTATTGACTGATGTTTACTAAATAAGCATAATTTCCTTCTTTATAAGGGATCCTGGGTTTACATCCACCATGCTCATAATGCCCCCAATGTGCTGAACAGTCTGGAGTCCTTCCTGGCAGAGAAGCCTAACCCCGAGGGATTCCGTTTGTGGGTGGCCAGTCAGGCGGACCCAGGGGTGATCCCAGTCAGGCTGCTGCAGAACTCCATCAAAGCTGTGGTGGACACACCCAAGGTCAGATATAGTGCTTAAAAAAAAGAGTAGAAGACATGAATTTAATTGAGTAAGTAATAAAATTTTAAGTAGACACCATTACTTCCATGTATTAAATAAATACAGAAAATTTCTGAAAATTGGGAGTTCCGGGATCCCTTTTTAGAAGAGCATATATGTTGCTCAAAAAAATAAAACTTGTCTCATATTCTGGACAACATTGGTTTTGTAAGAAATCACTATTATTTACAATATTATACAAGATTCCAGATTGACATGGAAAACAATTAAATTTATTGAAAAGTACCTTATATTAACACCACAATAAGCAAGATTTGGGAACATTTAAACTGTACTTTGTACATTTTGACTGTGACTTTTGCAGGTAATTGAAAAGGATTTAAAGTTTACACCATGATAGGCAGAATTTTGAAGTACACAATATGCTGATTTACAGACAAGCATTACTGTATTTTTTACTGTATATTTTGACTTATACAGGTAATGAAAGACAGTATGATTCGGTCCTTTTCCTGGTTTGAAGCGGACATCCTGCGCCAGTCTTCGCGACCCGAGTGGCCGGTAATGCTACACAACCTGTGTTACCTCCACGCTGCCATTCAGCTGAGGGCCAGGTACGGTCAGGGAGGGTGGAACTGTCCCCAGGACTTCTACAGCATAGGCTACAACTGTCTGCAGGTAAGAAATCACTGGTAACAGTCAAGCTAAGAACTAAATGACACAGTTCATGACAGGCTTAAGCGATTTCTGTTTTAGTGTAACCTGTAATAATCAATTTTGTTGGAGGCCCTGGTATACTGACTATAAGCTAGTTTTAGTAAATTCTTACTTTCATTTTTGCAGGAGGCCCTAGCTGAGTGGCAATAGTCCAGAATGAGTTTAAGTTAATCTTACTTTCATTTTTGCAGGAGGCCCTGGCAATAGTCCAGAAAGAGTTTAAGTTAATCTTACTTTCATTTTTGCAGGAGGCCCTGGCAATAGTCCAGAAAGAGTTTAAGTTAATCTTACTTTCATTTTTGCAGGAGGCCCTGGCAATAGTCCAGAATGAGTTTAAGGAACCACTGAACTGTGTGGCTCCAGATGGATCCCAGATGCCAAGACCTGTCTCCTACAACGGCATCAGATACATGGTGGCTGAGGTGAGATTTTTTGTTGAAATAAAAAAAAAAAATGAGAGAAAAATTAACCATTGTCCCTTAATCACTGGAGCTATTTTATTTCCATTCTGAAGTTTCTGGGGCTCTTAACTATATTGCACAGTTTAACTTTTCAGTTTCAGTTTCAAATTTTCATTAGATTCAATATAATTTACCTGTTTCTGTTGACAGATTGTGTATGGTAGCTATGTGACAGACTTCTATGATCAGCAAAGTCTCTGTGCCATGGTGGACTTCTGGCTGTCCTCTGGGGCCCTCAAAAGGGACTTTGAAGTTAAAGGCTGTAAGTCTTTTTCTGTTTCTTGATATCAAAGATTTTTATTTGAAGTGGCTTTACTCAGAAGTGGCTTCCGACTAACTCATCTTATTTATTTTTGAAGGGATATGATAATTGTAATTTCTCAAATAATTTATCCTTTCTGTAATAGGACTTCTTTTTTTTTGCATAAAAATCAGATAAATGGCTGGTTAAGATTATCTGTTGTAAAATCTTGGTATTGTAGTGAAGTACCGCCACCCACAGGCCTTTTTTAACCCCAACGTGCGACTGAACACCCTGATCCAGGCCCTGGACGGTGCTCCTAATCACTACCTGGATGTTCCGGAGGGCTGTCATATCCACCAGACCGTAGTGGTAAGTCTCACACAATGTTGTGTCAGGCTCCAGTTTGGGCTCATTATTCTCTCTGACTTCTCACAGCAGATACAATTGAAACATCACCTTTTTTTCATGTCAATGATATTTGCTATGGGATAAATGGTCTTTTCTTTCCTTTATATTCCTCTCTGTAAGGGTGGTTTGGGATTTGAAAAATCACACTTGTGTAATATTATGTTCATGCGATTGAGACCTTTTTGAATTTCATAAAGATTTATGATTGAGAGAATCCCTGGTACATTTCTAAGTGCATACCAAACTTTCACTTGTGAATTTGATTAATACGGTTTCAAATTAATGCAATATATTTTTTGCAAGCTATGCACAAAATGAATAATTTTGATATTTTTATTAGGTTAGACTTAACTAAAATCAAGCTTTCTGTTTGAAAGATTTCATGCTATATTCATAAACCCAGCTTCAACATTTTTATTTAGAGAAATTAGATACAACTCTTTAGGAAGTATATTAATGTAATACTATATTTTCAATACATTTGTTTGTTTTTTTCCTTGTATAACAGGATGAACTTAGTGCGGTAGGCAATAACAGTGTGTTAATAGTGTGACCATAGACCAATAAATTAACATGTGACCAAAGTTAACTCCAAAAATTCACTGCCTTTAACGGAATGATAACTTGCGCCAATTGTATTGTACATATTATTAAAACATGTGCTGAATATTCAACCTTGTGTATTCTTTTAGATATTGTTTCAAAGACATAAAAAAAAAATTAGGAAATGTTTGAAGAGTTTAATTTATTTTTAAAACTTCCTATAGTCTAAGAGAAAGGTATGGAAATTTGCACAATAATTATTTTAAAAACTAAATTAGGAAGTTGATAAATATCGTAGATTTTACAACACACTGCATATTTTAAATTAAAGTGCTTTAAATTTGCATGAGTTTGTAAAACTGCAATACTGCTAACGTAAAAAGGATCTAAAATGCCATTTTGATAAGTTATTAAATGAATTAAATTTAGGGTGCGTACATGTATATTACTTCACAATTAAAATGCAGCGCAGCTATGACACTAAAATATATTGCATGCATGCATCATGCCTATCACCTGACAGTGTGTATATTGCACTGTGCAGTATGTATCACAAATGCATGAAGCTAACCCTCTAAATATATCACTTTCCATATTCATCCATTGCATGTATTGAACTATTACATGTACCATATGCATGACTTCATCCATATCCATGTATTTTTTCCACACCAAAAAAAAAAAACAGTGTTCAAATATGCAAGATAATATAAATGATGTGGTCAAGATAACATTTGAAATTAGAACCCTTCTTCATTCAATTGGTTCTGATTCCTGGAGAATATATTGTTAGACAGAAGTTGTCCTGGACTAATATTCATTATAGTGTTTATAAGCCTACATGTATGTCATGATTTCAAACTAGTAATAGATAATGATTCTTTTTATTTTTTTCCATTTTGGTTGCTGGTTCTTTCAAATTAAATTCTTAAGTGTAGCATTCATTCATTATAAACTGCCTAAATGTGAAATCTTCTTGTTTTGATGTCCTTGTTTTAATGCTACATGTACATCCCCCAGGGTTCACACCCAATAGAGGTAAATAAGAATTTAAAAGACTGTGGTAGTCAAAATCCTAGTGAGGTAGCCAAATACTGCACTAAAACTATAGGGATTATTTACTATAATTCATATCAAGAGATAGAAGTAGTCTCTTTTTACGTCTCCTTTTATGCTGAGCAATTTTTGGTTTGTTATTATTCTCTATATACATGTATGTGTGATGTTGGACTTACTAAGAAGTATATTAGATTTTGAATTCTTAATTCATTAATTACTGGTAGAAATTTGTTTCATGGGATACAAAGGACTTTGTGGTTTGAGGTAGTGGCACATATATTTATAGTTTGCACAGTCTAACTAAAAGCTACTTTTAAAAAGGACCGTTATTATTTGTGATAATGATAGATTAGTTTTAGTGCATAGGGATGAAAAAAACTCAATTGCTTTATGACAATACTCATTTCTTTAAAATGTATTTATTTGATTTAGAGAAAAAAGAAATGTTTTTCCTTCTTTCCTTTTTTTTTTTTTGAAAATGTAAATCAAAATTGGATCCTTTACAAATTGACAAGAAGTTTATGAATGCTTAACAAAACATGAACAAGGAATTCATAGACAATGTAGAGTAACTTTTTTTAATGTGTTTGATAAACGTATGGAGCTTTCTCTTTTTCACTGATATTATCCAATAAATCACCACCGATTATATAGGTAGCATGCACATTGTCCTTTTACATTTATATAGAATTTTGCTTTAAATTTTCAAAAATGTTTTTTTTCCTTAGTGAATATTGTATTGCCGTCATGATTTGAATTCTTAAGCGATACCAAATGTAACAACATAAGTTAAGTCATTATAGACCTGCTAGGTCATCAATGTGTGAAAATGAACAACAGTTTGTCACTGAATAATTAAGAATATTGTAAATAACTTGGAATGTGTAGAGCTGATACAAATTTTCTTTTGTTAACAGACTTTATTGGGAGATGACCAGTATGTCTTCACCAGACTAAACAAAGTATTTGACAGCATGCCATCTACCAATACTTTATCCCACAAGATGTTTCCTCGACCTCCAACACCATTTGATGGTAAGTTACAGGGTACCATCTCCCATAACATTTGGTGGTAATATGGTACCATCTCCCATACCATTTGATGGTAATATGGTACCATCTCCCACACAATTTGATGGTAATATGGTACCATCTCTCCCACCATTTGATGGTAATATGGTACCATCTGCAACACCATTTGATGGTAAGGTAACCATCTCCCTTACCATTTGATGGCAAGTTACAGGGTACCATTTCTGACACCATTTGACTGTAAGACAGAGTAACATCTCCCACACCATTTGATGATAAGTTACAAGATACCATCACCCACACCATTTAATTGGAGGTACCAATATGCATGCCATTTGATGTGTGGTACAGGGTACCACTTCCTATACCATTTGATGGGAAGTAACAGGGAATCATAGTTATTTATAGCCTAAGGGTAACATCTCCCACACAATTTTATTATTTGATGGTATACCTACAAAGCAACACCTGAATATCAATTGTACTTGATTTACATGAATTTTATCTAACAATATATCACAATGCCTCTTGCCTTCTATTTCAGGACCTGCCCAGGCTGGTATCAGTAAAACTAGTAACAACCCCTCTGTGGTTCATCAGGGAGTATTCTCCACAGCCAGCTATGCCACCCACAAAATCCGCTTCAAAGACGTGGAACTCTGGCAAATCTGTAATGACCTGCTGCAGAAGACTCCAAAGATTGGCAATAGCAGCAAGGTAAAGTAGTCAAGGTCACATCTGCTTAAAGAATACTTTTCTACAGTGCTATGACAAAAGTATCCTCTCTCTATAAAGTTCCCCTGATCCTCTCATTGCAAGGTTTCATGTGGGTGTAATGTGTTTGGCAATATGTATGACCATACTTTTACCTCTATTTTTTGCTAAGTGGAGGAAATGATAAGTCCAATTGCTATTAGGGTTAAATGTCAGAGTCGATAGCATGGATAAGGCCATAATAAATAAATTGCTTGATTCTCATCCGAATTTTTTTAAAAATCGAGGCAGGCGGCTTTTATTTTATATTTTTTATTTTTTTAATTTTACAGATTTTTTATTGACTTGGTCAATCGGTGTAATTTTATAATATCTACAATACCCAAATAAAAGTCATAGTAAAAGTTCAATTATCTCCTACTTCACATAGTCACCAATCTTTTTCAACCAATGACCCTTGTTTAAAATATATATGCATGTTTTACAGCAATATTACCACCTTTTCAGCTGTCAAAATCATGTTGACTTTCACGGGATTTAAAACGAAAGTAGAATGGTAGATGAATACCGATCCCGATCAGAATTAAGACGAAGAAAACAGAAATAAAAAAAATCGGGCGGGGATGAGAATCTAGGAATATTTTTATTATGGCCTAAGTTGAAATTTTTTTTGAGAAGTACTAAGTTTTTAACTTGAGAAAGTATAACTACATTTGTAGTTAAAACATGACTTTTATGATTTTAGTCATTCCGTGAGTTTGTTGTGGAGAAAATCCGTAAACTACCTGGGGACTACCCTATCTTTAATGACTTCATCATGAAAGAGTGTGAGATTCTTCACCAACTGTTGACAGAAGTGCGACATACACTCACTGTAAGTTTTCACCTTTTGCAAGGTAGTTAAATCTGAAAATTTTTATGAAATATTGAAGCCGTTTAAATGTGAATTTCGATTGAATTCTTGTCTGACACATTGTACATCAATGGATTCTGACAATTTTTTTAGTACTGAACTTCGTAAAAATACCTTGTCTTCGTTACAGTTGATAAGGAACGCCTGTGAGAACAATGTGATGGGTGACCAGCTGAGTGACCACTACCTGTCTGCGGCCGATGACCTCTACCACTTAAGGATCCCCAGGATCTGGTGTAAGATGACCGGCACCACCGCCCCACCCTACACCTACAATGCCGCTCAGTGGCTCCGGGATCTAGAGGACCGCTGGAAACACTTTGAGAAGATCCTCAGCATGGTGTGTATTGTATAAATGAAAATGGGGAGGATCCATAGGAAGTGGAAATCCTTTTATGCAGATTTGATATTTTTTGATAGTTAGATTTAACTGACACTTTATCCTGCTAAGTCTTTCATCTCTAGTAAAAGAATTGATGTTTTAAATAGGGATTATTTTTTGCATGTTACAGGGAAGGAAGGCCATGCCAGCCTATTGGTTAGGAGCATTCTTCAATCCTAGAGGACTTCTTGCCTTGCTGAAACAGGAAGCCATCAAGAGTTACTGTGGAGATAGGTCCGGCAATTTTGAACAGTTCACCTTCCAGACTGATACAACATTCAGAGATTTTGGACATGTAAGAGTCTCTTGTTTTAATTAGATGAAAATAGGGAAATTCGATTTTATTAGGATGTAAGCTTTTGTAAAAATCCTCTAAATGTTACAGTTACTGTAGAAACCTGCTTGTGCTGCACATTAAGATGTTAATTTAAAGTGCATTGATAAAAGAAGTTGATTTTTGATATTCAGGAGAATTTTCTTTGTATACACAAAAAAATTAAGATAAAGATCTTCTGACTTTGAATTTTTGTTTTCTTCTTTAGTTACTTCAGCCTCCACCAGAGGGCGTGTACATCCATGGAATCCACCTCTGGGGGTGTTCCATTGAGAAGACAACCAATGAATTCCAGGACCAGGCCTCCAGACAGGGTTACGCCCCCCTTCCTGTCCTTCATCTACAGTGCTACCCCATTAACGAGAAACCCGCCCTACAGGAACCCTCCTTCCAGTGCCCACTCTATCCCTCCAGAATAGCCCCACGGGATCCCATCATGGAAATCGACATCAAGAAGGAGGGAATCCCGCCCATGAGATGGGCCCTACGTGGGCTCACAGCTACCATCTGGCCTTATTAATTAAAGAAACTGCCAAAGACGTTTTCTTGCTTGTTGTATTAAAAAATCCAAAATAATGACTTTTAGGAGTGATTTCTTGAATAAGATCTGACATATTTTTTCTCTGACCTTGTGATTTATTGAAATTTTTACTGTATGACATAATGCATTTCATAGATAAATAAGTATTTTTTGCTGAATGCAAACCTTATTCCGTCCTCATCACGTTCAATCTGTGATTACAATGGTTGTGTACAGAGTAGATTTATATTATTATGGTTGTGTTTCTCTGTGGTAGTGATGCATTAAGTATTTGTTTATACTCTTGTTGATATTGTTTTTATTTTAAAATATATATATATTTATTTCTATTTTAAAGACTTTTCATGCATATGTGTCAAAATATTGTATACTGCTGAGTTTGATTAAAACTTGAATGTTGTAATTTTTTTTTGTCATTATGTTAACATGATTATTTGATTCTATATTTGAGAATTTTTCACGTATGGAGATGACAGCTAGCACTTGCTGTTAGAGAGAATGCAACTCTGAAATGTGAATTATTCACACAAGTATTCATTTTGTATATCATGGCTTCTATAGTGATATACACGGATGTGTCTTTGACCTTCTGACCCTAGAGTCAATATTCCAAGACTGGCCTGTTTGCAATTCAGTGATATATGTAGTATTCACTCTTGACCATCTTATTGTCCTTGACCTTTTGACACTGTAATAACTATTCTTATGTGGCCACCTTGCAAAATTTGCATATTTGAATGGTTACTGTTCATCTCTGATATTTGAACATCAAATGAATGGGCTCTTTTTATGTATGCAACATCTGTAGCATTTTAGTTGCTATAGACAGAGTAAAATTTTTAAGTATTCTATATATGTTTTTGAGAACATGAGTAAGATCATATTCTTTCAATGTTCTTGAACTTTTGATCCTCAAGTGAGTAAATTTAAGCTTCTTGTCATCCACAACCTCTATAGCAAGTCTTTAGGTAATCTATTCACAGTCTACGACACAAATAGGCAGCCACAAAATCATTTATTCTGATCCTCAAAAAAATCCAAAGGAGCTACAAAAGTCAATATTAATAAATACAAGCATAATCTCACAAAGATTCAAATTTGTTCAATTTATGTGTGGATAGGGCTGAGCCATGTCACAACATCAGATATGTAAACTTTGATATCCAATACCTATTACAACAGAATGAAAGGAACATAGTTCATATTTAACTTATATTCGAAATTAAATGCTCAATTGTCATATCCTATATTCCCCACCTCCATCTCCAACTTCAATCTATTAAAACAACATGTATTTGCT